AAAAAGTAAACAAATGATTTAAGTTAAAAAATTCACACATTTCTTTCCATAGTAAGCTTAAGCTTTGGGTACTTTAACGCTAACTTGTTCAGCTAAATCACTCAATCACTGTGTACAGAAAAAACTTATATATAAATAGGCGAAGAGCTAAGAAAAAGACAGATGAAATTCAATATGATTTTTTTTTTCTATTTTTTTGATGTACTACAATATGATTCATTAATTTCTAGTTCAAACATCTAAGTGTACTGACAAACAAAATTTTATGTTCTCCACCTTAGCTCTAAGTGTTCCTTTGGTTGTCTCCAGTAAAATCTTATAAACCTTAAAATAAAAGCCCTTAAGTTCCCAATACATAGCTCAATGGTAGTTGCATTGCATTTGAGGGATAAAACTGCAAGAGGTAAAACCTACCTTTATCAAACATGGGAGGGAACTTTCTTCCTAGGTAAAACGCAAGGCACATATAAGCTATCAGTAATTGCATACAACAAAACAAATCAAAATGATATCAAACGGAACAAGAAAGAAAAAAACAAGGAGAAAAAGCTCATTACCATAGAGGTGAGCTCTTGTGATGACTTCCGATCTGAAAGGAACTACATCATAGAATAAGGCGAAGAATCATATGTAACAACTATTCTAAAATTATTCGTGATGTGAAGAACCAGATGAGCTCCCATCATGACTTCCAATCTAACAAGAAGAATATTATAGAAGAAGGCGAAGAAGCTCTTTAGCGACTCTTTCAAAACTATTCTTTAGAATAGCCGACGAAGTGTGCAAGGAGAAAAAGAAGAGAAAGATCATTACCTTCGCAGCAAACTACCATCATGACTTTCGATCCATCAAAAGCGGTGTAGTGACTTCACTGTGAATTCCCTAAATCCTAGAATAATACGTCAAGGTTTAAAATTGCATAAATAAGCCTCGAGGCGGTTTTCGTCCATGAGGCGAGGCGTAAGCCTCGAGGCGGTCTGAGGCGTAAGCCTCACGGTCACAGAATTGCGTAAATGAGAATTTAAGGGTTTTAGCAGGTAAATAATAGTAAGATTCTATCATACAATTTAGATTTTATGAATTTTTAAGTTAAATTTAGAACCTTAATTAGGTAAAGTGATTCACTAGGACGCCTAAATGAAGTTAAAAATCCATAAAACTCCTCTAGGAAGTCTTTGACCTTCCTAGTCACAAAAAATTGACGTCATTTAGAGCAAAATCAAATATTTAATTAAGGTTTTATGTTTTTCTTTTTTATTCAAATTAATCCTAATTTTGATAGGGTTTTTAATGTTACAAGATTCTCTTCTCTGAGTCTGAGATGAACTCAGAGAAGGGTCAATTGTACTTTTAGGATTTTTCTTCATTCATGAGTTTTAGGAGCTAACTATGTTTGTTTGTGCAATGAGTTTGTTTTAATTTGATTATTGAAACTTTTATTTCATATTTGATTTTAAGTTTGATCAGAGTTTGATTAATGTTATACAACTCATGTGTGTATGATTTCATATTTATTAAATTTACATTTAATTTGATTTTGAGAATGAGTTTAGCATGATTATGTATTAATTGATTCTATTTAATATAATTTGATTTGAATTTGAGTGTATATGACTAAATTGAATTTACTAGGCCTTATATTTGATTTTATTTTAAGAAGGATCTTAGCAAGATTTAATTATAAAATTAAACGCTATATCTTTTGAATTGTTTAATTTTGATTTGGTCTTTATTAATTTTGTATTCTAGTTTGATCTTTAGGAATGATTTAATTTTTTATTTCATTTAAAATTCATGTTTGATTTAAGTTCATCATATTAATGGGTTCAACTTAACGTGATATATTTAATTTTATTTAATTGTAAAGAGTATATGCTATTTAAATTTCTATTTGAAAATCAAGCAAACTCCTAAGTGTCTAGGGATTTTTATTAACATATGCAAGGATGTAAACTAAGTAAAAATAATCAAATCTACTCAAGCTTCTATTTTTGATTTGGCGAATGTGCTTTCATACAATGGGGGATCATTGGATATGAGTTTAATGATCCGAGGTTTGATTGACCTAATCGAATTTCCAAATAAGAATAATCCATTGGAAATCACCAAATTTCCACAAATTGGTGAGGAAGACAATGGGGTTGTGTTACATTCCTAATCTAAGGGTGATCTAAATGGACCTAAGGTTGATGGATCGTCATGCATTCACATCAACAGTTTTGCTAAGTTTTTGAAAATTTTTTGCCTCACCAGAGCTAGTTTGATGGTTTCTGGCTATAGCGCCTTCTTTTGAATGAAATAAAAAACAAATGAAATGAAGGTAGGCTATTTTGTGGATTGTTCTGGATGTCAACTCCGTTTATAGCTTGCTCCTAAGCTTGTAAGGAATCTCGTCGTTGCTCTCTCTCTTTGTTTCTTAGAGTTGAGAGAAGGATTTTCTTCGTTTTAGTTGGAGACACAAAGAAGCTTTACAATATTTAGGATAAACTGAAGACAAGAAGGAAAAAGTTCGCTCAATTTTCTACATAGGCTATAGGAAAGGTCCCTAGTTTTACCCGTTTTCTATCTTGTTTTTGAAAGCCACAAAAAGGAGCTCTCATTTTTGGAAGAAACGAAGTCGGCAACTACCTTTCTTTGATTCTGGAAGTTGAAGCAGGAAGGAGAAGCACCAGTAGAAGTTAGATTTCCCAAGTTGCTTGCTAGAGGTTGCTCGACCCTTCTTAGTTTTTCAAGGATTACGTGCTTCCATCTCCTCTCCCTCGACTCTATCTAGACGCACACGAAATGACCCTCTCAAGCACTTCATTCTTCTCATTTCTCTGGAGAAAATCAAACTCAACAAGGAAAAAACCCCTCCACCAGTTCTCTCCCTCTGGAAGAATAAAAAAATGTCGCTCGGTTCACCCAAATCACACAGAAAATCTCCTTCCTCTTGTTTCCGCCAGCCGAAGTAGCATCATTCTTGTCACAATACCGTATAGTTCCCAAGATGGGCTATATATGAATGATCGTGCCCCTCAACAACCCCAAATTGATGCATTCACACTACCCTTGATATAGTCTTTATTATGCCGGGGGATCATGGAAAAAAGACTGACAAATATTTAGTTTCAACCATTAGATTATGGGTTTCTTAATTTGTAAATGCTCAAATAAAAAATTGGCCTACTCGAATGAGTTGATTTGGGTTTGACTTTGATTCAATTTGGGTTAGTTAGACTCGATTCGAGTCGATTTGATTCAGTTGAAGTTGTTTCAACTTAATTAGGCTTAATTGAACTCAATTTGGCCCGAATTAATTTAATTTGACTCAAGGCAACTTAATTCTACTCGATTTGATTTGATTTGACTCGTTTCAACTAAATTGAGTTGATTCAACGCAATTTAACCAGTTTTGATGGAATTAACATCAAATCGAACAATCTAATCAATTAAATTGAGTTGAATTTGTCTTAATTAGTCAATTTTAATTGAGTCGCCTTGAGTTCAAATGCATCAATGAATGATTGTGAACTTCATTCCAAAAATGAGTTCAGCAATTAAAAAAAAATTAGTCGAAAAGAAGCATTTAAAATTTGTCATCATAGTTAAACGTATAACAATGTAGGAAGAGTTGAGAACATCATGTTCCCTCATTTATATTATCTTTCTTGATATGTAATAAACCTTGAAGAATGGTGATTTATTTAATTTTCTATTTTGGCCTCTTTTGGCAAATGAAATTTGGAACTTTTTGCCCATGTCTTCTTCGAACACCGTCATCAGAGTCATACTGGGTATTTGGATTACCAATACCCCTAACAACAGAATTATCATGAGTAGCAAATACATATGGGTGGATTTGGATCAATGATGTTGCATGCATATGAGGTGCCAACTGTTGCCTTTGGTAAACTGAACATCCTGGGGAGGAGGCTCTGTTTTCATAACAATATTTAAAGTATATTCTAGGTTTTGAGTACAAACTATATTAGAAGAAGTTTGCAGTTAGGGTTTTCTTCATCTGAGTGCTCTCCTATTTGATGATTGCTAGTCTTATGGAAAGATGATTTCCTCAATTTCTGAGCGATCTTTGAAGCATCCTGTGATGTTGTGACCAAAAAGTTTTGCAGAAAGAATAATATAAAGGAACACCATCAAATTTTACATTTAACCAATAATAATGGAGCCAATCCAAATCTCCTTCTTCAATGGGATAAAATGTTTATTTCATGGCGGCCTGGAGAGTTTAGCAATAATAGCATCCACTTGAAGCAATTTTACAAAAAAACAAAACCAAAAGAAAACATGGTGAATTGGCTTAAGTAGTGAATTCAGAGCTGAGAAAAATCAATCCAAACTGGATTTACAGTTGGCTCCTTGGATTAATCAAATTGAGGAGGCCATTTAAGTAAAACATCAGAAAGACATCCACATAGCATGATTTCCATGAGAAAAGTCTTGAATAATCAACTTTTAAGGTTAAAATATGTACATGATGGGAATCAAGAAGCGACAATAAGTTCATTTTAGTGATTTATGACAAACTTCAGTTGTGATGCTTTGCATTCATTTCTTTGGCTTTACTTGGGGTAAGCTACACTTGATTTTGTAGGATTTGCAATTAATGCTTGCTTTAGGTTGTGCTAGAGGTGTGCTAAGGAAGAATCAAGGTTTTGATGAATGTGCTAAGTGGAACTAAGGAACTAGGCCACACCTAGCCCATTTGGTGCAATTCTTTCAACTTGAGTTGTTTAAAATCCCATGTATTTTGGATCCAATTCTTATAGATCTATTCTCAGTTCTTTGTTCAATTTTCTTCATCGTAGTCAGGTCTCATAGATTAATTTATGTTAAATTAAGTTTGAAGATATTTGTTTGATTTAGTTAGTAAAAGCCACTAATAATGCACTGGCCAATAGACTAGCATCAGTTCTCGTTTTATCAAGCTAATGAAAGGATATATATATATATATATATATAACCAGAATTTTGTAACCTTCGTATATAAAATTATATACCGTCGACGAAATTGCCAGTTGATGCAAAATTGATTAATTAGCGTGGAAGCAAACATCATCTTCTTCATTTTCCTCGATCTTGCGCTCTCTCTCCCTTTCTCGTGTCTCGTCGACGGGAAATTGATAACTGTTCTGCGTGTTTTCCTCTCTTGTGAAGCAACCATGGCCACCATCGGCAACAACAACATCAACGCCAAGCTCGTGCGACAACTCTTCCTCCTGTCCTTCTCCTACTAATCACTACGATTTCTTAATATTACTCAAGTTTAACATATTGCTCGTCTCTGAGACTGCAGGTGTTGCTTGGGGACATGGGCGCTGGCAAGTCCAGCCTCGTACTCCGCTTCGTTAAGGGGCAATTTCTGGAATTCCAGGTCTGCTGCCACCTTATTCCTTTATTTTTAGGGTTTATCGAGCTTGCGGGTGACCTCGATGGGATTGTAACCATTGTTGGTGCTTTATTTGACTTGAGTGGATTGGAATTGATTTGATCGCAGGAGTCGACGATCGGAGCAGCGTTCTTTTCACAGACACTTGCTTTGAATGACGCTACGGTTAAGTTTGAGATCTGGGACACGGCGGGGCAAGAGAGATACCACAGCCTCGCGCCAATGTACTACAGAGGAGCTGCAGCGGCCATCATCGTCTATGATATCACAAGCAAGGTGAGGTGATCATTTAATATGGTTCTGTAAAAAAATGTCTATTTTATTTCTGTTTCAGCTATAATTCTTATTTGTTTTTTCCTTTATTGGGCTTTAGGATTCATTTGAAAAAGCGAAGAAGTGGGTGCTAGAGCTGCAGAAACAAGGTTTTGTTTTTCTTCTGGCTTTCAAATGGATAATTTACTAGACTGGGAATTTCTCTACCTTTTTTTCTTCGTATATATTTATAAGTGATCTATTGTTGATACCGGATCCAGGAAATCCAAGCATGGTAACTGCGCTTGCAGGAAATAAGGCTGATTTAGAAGACAAAAGGAAGGTGACATTAGAGGTAAGTTTGTTAATTGCAGGAATGTGAGCATTTGATTGGCTGCCAACTATTAGAATGTTTATATAGAAATTGTATACCTTATTCTAACTTCAATACTGGTTTCTATGTCTCTACGTTAGCACATTAGACCTGCAGCTAATCTTATGGAATACACCTATATGCACTGCGTAGATTGAAGTAATAATTTCAGTTTTATAGTATGCTTGATGTTTTTCATTTATTATTGATCAACCCTGCTTGAATCAGATATGGAATATAATCACATAGACACTAGAATATTAATTTCGTTGTAATGTGCTTGATTTATACCGCTAATAAATTTTTGGTTCCTTTTTTTCTCTGAGAATAGGGTAGACTTAAGCTATTCTTCCTTATATACTGAAAATGAGTTTCACAGTTGTTTTAATCAATCATATCAGATAAATCTTAGGTTGTCATTATGAGTTGAATAAAGAATAATACTTTATTCCCCAAAAACATCTAAATCGCATAATATGAGACCACATCAATTGTCCATATGGCAGCTGATGTGGCCAACTCCAAATTTAGCAGCTAATATAAAAATGTGCTAAATTAATGATCCTTATGAATTGTTGTCTTGTTTGTTTAAGGAAAACCAAGGGATGGGTGAATTGAGTATGCAATTTTTTTGTACTATAGATTTTTTTTTTTACAAAATTATTCCCAACTTAAATCTCACACAATCAAGCACAATGCAATGTGGAAGCTATATTAATAATTATACAATGGAAGCAAGAAATGAACAAACTAAGTAATGCGCAAAGGCTAGAAATATGTCAGCAAGATTGTCAAGCTAAATACCCAATACTATCTAGACGTATATTGGTAACAAATAATACAAGAATAATATGTTCTAAGGTGAGTGATCTATGTTAAATACAATGCAATTTATATGATACTCAATTATATATTAATTACAAACTTGTTTTCAATTAAAATTGATACTAAAAAATATATCAGCACAAATGAGTAATGGTGTTGAATGAATAATTAAGCTAGCTGTAAGTGATCAAACCAAGAGCTCAACTATGTAAGATGATTATATTACCTAACTTATAAGATTAATCTTGTCAATGTCAAAACACAAATGTCCTCAAAAACAGAAATGTTGATACCAACAAATCTATGCTATGAGTTAACTGCATAACTAATAAGAACAATGAAAGTAATTATAAGTTAACTAAAGACCATAAGAGATTTTATAACTTTACTGAACATGTAACATTCAGGCATGATAATGATAAAACAAACATGCTATGAAAGTAAATCTAAACTATAGAGTGAAATGGACACTCAATATTTACATGGTTCGAGCTACCAATGACCTACGTAATGGCTCGCCTCTAATCCAAACAATGGTTCCACTATCCACGCTTGTAGCCATAAGCTTAATCCTTTGCAACGCGGGTGGAGAAACCTTCACAACACTTCTTCGAGGAAAATCATACGCTCACTTCTTTATGGGGAGTTGTTGCCTCACCTAAGCAAATCCTAAGTAAACACCAAGGAGTGGTCGAAAATCCTCTAAAAATTTGGTGGTGGCTAAGGGGTTGTTTAGTTGTTTATATTTTAATTCAGCTGCATTTGAAATGCAAAATAAAGTAAATATGGTGTATTCTAAATTCTTAGAGATATTTGGTTGTTTGTAAAGTACTCAAGTGAATTGTTGTTTTGTTTGATTTAGTGTAAAATGCAGTGTATTCTGAAATATAGTTGTAACATCACATCATTGTTTTGATATAATAAATTCAATATTAGAGAAATTTAATGTATTATATGGATTGGAACCAATCAAAGTAAAAAAATAAAAAACATAGAACAATTAATTATTTTCATTAATGTAATCGTAAAATAATAAATCATATGTAGAGTTAAATTAGCAACAATTTAAGGATAAATCTAAAATAATCATAACAACTTCATAATGCCAAAATGCATCTAAAGACACGAGTTCATAATGCTCATATATTATACCTCAAGATTGTTAATCCATTATTAACTTTTAAATTAAGAAAATATTTTCCCTAACTCCTTATGCATCCACCTAGCATTTTATTCTATGGGTTTTGAGAAGAAGGAATGAATCATTGTTGGGTTCTTGGATAAGTTGTCATATGCAATATCAATATCTAACTCGAAAAAGCATGGAATATTCGATAGCTTTGTGATAAGTTCAATAAATATCTTTTCTCCATCAAATCTCTTATTATACATTGAATTGTATGAGCAATTTGAGTTACATTATCAGTCATTTTAATGATATAATCATCAAGAGATTGATCAACATCATACCCCTTGCTCCTTTTTTGTGGGATACATCCCATGGAAGATAATGACATTCTTATAGGATATTTTGTAATATTCACTTTAGCCCACTCAGTGGGATGCATTATCATCCAAGTTGTTTTCTTGAGTATCAAATTGAGTTTGAGAATTTTAGACTCGCCCACTCTCCGGTGGTATGTCCTTATCTCGAACATTTTCTAACTCCATATAATTTGAGGTTGATATATAAAAACAACTTATATTTTTCGGAAAATCCTATAGCACAACAAACAGAAAGCATTAGACATGTTACTTAGCAGTTTTATGTACTTTCTTATAAATAATGCTAGAATATGTGATGTATGCTAGTAATGACCCATCAATACCATTTTCTTATTTTCATCCCAAGATACTCCTGATATCTCCTTCAACTTTTGAATGTGACTTCATATAGTTATTTGATATTGAATTTGATTCTTATATTGCTCTATCATAAATTCTAAATTTCTCTTTCAATTTTTGAGTAACATTTTGGTTCGCAACATCTTTGAAGGCTTGAGCACTCCTTTTATTTGCATCAATGTCTCACACATTATTTAAAGAACTCCAATCCATTCTGGTTTTAAACTTCATAATTTTTTTCTCTTTTTAGTTATGGAAGCAGATGTGACGGTAGGATGAAGAGGCACCATTTTACCTAAAAAATCAATTATCATGCTCAAAAAGAAGATTTAGATAAAAGTGAAATTAGAATTTTATTAATTATGAAAAATATTATATATCTAGAACTAAAAAATATTCATTGTCATCATAAAAATCTATCTCGAAAGTATATCCCAAAAAGAGTAGAAATCTATCTCAAAAGTATGTATGTATGTTAATAACTAGCACTGTCCATCTAATTCAGCTTTGCATCAACAATTTGGTCTTTTTTTTTTCCAATCATTCTCGGAAGTCATCTTGAATTTCTTCATCCTGCCTATTAGCGTTTGCTCTTCTTGCCCGCTTATGCTTTGCAAGAATGAAATCATCATCAATCTCTATAATAATCCAATTATGTAATATTTAACATTCAAGAATAATGCCAACTTGTGTTTTTAATAGGATTTTAGGTTCATACTTTGTAATTCCAAATGATTCATTAGAGAATCAAAAGCATGTTCCATAGTGGTGCATAATTATGAATGTTGAAGGTTAAATAACTCTTTGTAATCTGTTAGTTGACTGCCAATAACCTTTGGATGATAACTAATGGCATAATATGGTGATATAAAACCCTTCTAGTGAGTATCCAACATCAATTAACTAGTATTTATCTGTGAGATAGATTTCAGTTATTTGTTCATCAAAATACCATAACTAATTATAGAACTGTATATAGTATTATCATTTTGTATCTTTTGAAACACACAAACCGTTGGTTTGTTTTAATGAATATTGAAGTATTGTGGAATCATTTGCTATACCTTCTGAACTAGCTAGGGCTTATATGAATCTCAAGTTTAAGTCCATTTCTATGAGCACATTCTTGCTTGGGTAGTGTTTCTCCCTCTGAAAGCAGATTGATGCTCCTTAAAGACCCTAGCTTTAATGTGTGTTCCATAAATCGTTCCAACGCAATCTTAATTTTAATAAGTTGTTCTAGTACGAGCATTTGTAAACTTATATTGGGAGATGCTATAATCATACTTTAAAAAAACATGAATCTATCATTTGATTGTATGTTACTTGGAGTGTGGAGCAATGGAGGTTTTTTCATCTCATGTCACAACTCTCCTATAACATATAACACAACATTTGAATATCTACTCAGTTTCTTTTTATCTTTGAAAGTTAAATTGAACGAATAAAATGCACAGTATGCTTAAGTGTATTTAGTAGCACAATAACCAATTCTTTAATGTGCAAATTAATTGTGTCTACAAGTAAGCTTGTGAGTTTAATTTAATGTTACATAAAACGGCAGCCTTCTGATGACCTGGTTAGGTAAGTAGAGGTATTAGATTTCACTTATGTTAAGAAAGATAGAGGTAGACATAAAAAGGCTTGGTTAGAAAATATTAAAAATGATCTTTCTTTATTAGATTTAAACGAGAATTTGACTTTTAGCATGACACAATGGAGAAAAAGGTTTCATGTAGCCAACCTCATGTAGTGGGATAAAGGCTTGATGTTGTTATTGTTGTTGTATAAATAAACTTGTACGGAATAAATTGCATGATTTAAAAAAGGATCCTCTCTTCATTCGCATCATATTAATCCAATCATTATTAGATTCGTGATATAACTTCGAGAGATATGTTTCAAGTTGAATATTCTGCTCGAGATTATATTCTCGTTAATCTCTACTTAGTTCATATAATAATATGAACAAAACACTAACTGAGCTAATGATAATTGCATGAACAATTGAGTAATTTTGATTTCTACTCATCTCTGTGTCATTCCAAAACACATCCCAATTGGATGGTCATTTTTTATTATTTTTTAGTCTCTCTGTTATTGATTTCTATTCCATTCAGAATTTTGCTGTCCTCGCATAAACAAATAAATTGGTTCAAAAGATTAATGATTTTACAAATATTATAGTACAAATATGATAAATTATTTGAAACACATGAATTTTTAAGCTTGATATCACAGCTACACATTGAACAAAAACCTTTTCCCTTACTTGTTTAAAAATACATTTGACGAAGTTGTTATACATATTC